TAGGCGTCAATCAGCCGCGTCTGTAGAGTGGGCGGGTAATTGCTTCTCTCGAGTTGAGTTGACATAAAGTGGATAAGTCACATCAACTAGTATCATGGAGACGTCAAATCAATTTAAACCTCAGGGGCAGAAAGAATCTTGGCAAAGATCTCTTTCTGAAATTGGCGGCATATCTTCTGACCGAGGTCTCTGGAGTGTACTTCGCCTCGACATCATGGGCGAGGGCGTTTCGGTCGGTTCGACATAATTGTCTGTGGCTCGCAGTGTGATAGAAGGTTGTTAACATTGAAGATATCACTTCGGAATCACTTCGAGTGGGTGTATAGCAAATCGGAGTGACTTAGGTGGTTCAGATAGGGACGTAACAACTGTTCTAACATTATATTAATAATTTTAAGAGAAATAACATGACAGAAAAGAAAATATTAAATTTAAAATGCATATGATTCAAAATAAACAAATTGATAGACCAATATGGGGATTTTTTTTTCTTTTTTTTTTTTTTTTTGGTAAAAAAATCCACACATCCTTAGTGATAGACCACCTATATGGGTTTGCGGAAGGAACTAGAAGCAATTACAGATTAATTAGTATGCACGTTACTCCAAAAGAAAAAGAAAATTGTTCACACGGTTAAGGAAAATTTTAGACTTGATAAAAATAAAATGGAGAAAAAGTGTCTGGTAACTGTTGGAATAAGCGGAAATTTTTTAATTAAAAATGTTGATGATTTAATTATTATTTTTTCCATGTTTGACAAAAAAAATTTAGTGGGAATTCTTCTAGTGAAAACATCTCATAATTCATTTTGGTCCTATTTTGGGGAGAAATAGGTTTTATAATGATGATTTTTGAAGAATGTATAATTAAAAATTAGTAGAAAAATTTCGAACTTACTAATAATATTATTTTATTCAAAAGTATGTAATTGAAAATAAGTTTTAGAAAAATTAAATTTTGATAAAAATAAGTCAAATTATAAGTTACATTGGATTATGCTACACGAACCGCAGAAATGATCGCGAGGATGACCGCGCTCACACACATGGGGGTTGGGGTTTTTTAATTCACACGGGACCCACTCATCCTATGTGAATACACGATCATCCTCGTGGTCACTCGGACGAGTCGAGCGGCTTAACTCAGCTTCATTTCCATTTAACGACTTTTTGTTCTTTGACTATTTGTCCAACCTTTTAGAACAAACACGTCACTAGCTTAGGACCCACAGCTCCTTCCGTGAAGGGTTTTGCTATGTGTTTATTAATATTCATAAATTATTTATAGATATTCAATTTACTTTTTAATTTTTATTCATACATTTTGAGGCGACTCGCAAGTATTACATATTAAATTGATCTCGTACAATTAGGATTGTTTTCATTTTCACACTGATTACAAAAATATAAATAATATACTTGGGAATATAAGTTGCATTTATATTTTTCTAATGTATCCTTACATTAGATTACTGTTCAAATAAGAATAGTTCATATTTGTCGATAACAAGTAATATTAGAAAATTAAGAAATTAACTATACTATCAACTAAGAAAATAACCTAAAATTTGGAACAAACAAAAAAAGGAAAGCAAGTAAAATTATTTTTATAGAACTAATATTTACTATTTATTTTTATATATTTATAATTCAAAATCATTTATAAACCCTCCCTAAACGTGCCTTAATTTTGAAAACTCAACTTTAGATCTCAATGAACAATTGAACACCCATCCTTGACAAAAAGTACTGCTAATACTTGTAGACTTTTTCAAAATAAAAAACTAAAAACGAGTATCAAACGAGATTTTTTCAAAGTACATATTTTAAAAATCTAAAATAGGTTCTTCTAACTTTCGTGCTAAAATATATTTAATATAATGAACCAATAGACTTCCGATTGGGCAAAAATCAATTTAAATCGCTCAAATCGATCGATTCAACCTTGATTCGACCGATTTGGCTTAGTTTTTAAGTTCAGTGGAATTGAGTTGGGATGAAAAATCAAAACTGGGTTGGATCTCGAGTTAAGAATTAAATCGAATCTAGTTTTATGAATTAAAAAAATTAATATCTAAAATGAAAAAAAAAAAAAAATCTAAATAGACACGACAATGGAGACAAGCAAAGGAGTACATATGTTGACGAACATGAATTTTGAAAGATCATTTATTTAGATGCATTTATTGACCAAAGATATCAACAATATCTCACGCACTAATTTTAAATGCTACAATACGAATTGATGTTCTAGAAGGATAATTTGATAGCACTATATTTGATATATCTATGGCACGCCTAAAGTGTGATGTTATTTGATTTTAATACATTTTTTTTTTCAAATGAAAATAGAGCAATTAACGAAGGTTGTTCCATTAAGGAGACATATACTCTTGATTAGTATTTAAATATAGCGAAATATAAAATTCTAGAAGAAGTTCAGGCAACTTTTATACCGTATACTAAAAATAATAATACACTCTTTTTCCTTTATTAGGATGTTTTCTTTAACCTACTATGCATTTACCCTCAAAATAATACTTTATATGTATGAGAATTTTCGGATTTCATGTTACTACAGTCATTAAAGGTTGATAAATATCTCGTATGCAGACGGTGTTATTTGAAAACTATGGAAGACAATATGAAACATACTTAACCAAAAAGTGTAATATTGAAGACATCGATGTACGAGACATGAATAATTTGATACGAGAATTGAAATCAAAGGAATAGCTGTACTCTTTTCCTTCGATCATGTTTTATCCGACTGGATTTTTTTGTCAAGGTTGTAAGATAATTATTGATGATTACTTAGTATTATCATGATACACAGATAAGTTTTATTTAGTTTAAAAGATATATTTCAATCCAATTATAACTCTTATTTGGATCCTATAAATATATAACATTAGTTCTTAATAATACACACTTGAGTTTTAACTTTTCTTTTTCTCTCTTTTCGTAACATTTTCAACAATACTTATAATTTAGAAAAAAAAAAAGAAAGCAAATTCACTCTTCATTACCCCCAACGCGACCTCCAACACCTATCCTCGTGAACGCAACTGTATTACCATCTCATCCTGACCTTCTCTCACACTCCTCACCCTTTTTCTTTATTCCCTATCTTACCTTGTTTTTTCTATACTGATTTCTCCTTTCTCGTAGAGGCAACACTGTCTGTCGACATGAAGACGAAATGAAGAGGTCAAGGAGTTATGGTTCCCCAAACATACACAAAATGCAATCGAATTTGTGTCGATCGATTTGGGTCCACACTAATGTAATAAAATTTGATCCAGATGAAAAGTTCTATCAATAATTGAATTTAGCCCATGATCGGCTCATGTTTACGAATTGTTTACAAACTCTTAAAATATCTTTTAATTTACCTATTTCGAGAGATTTATAAGTATTACTCATTTATCTACCATCCATTTCTATTTATTCTTTTTTTTTTTCAAATGATTAACGTTATTTACACCCAAAAATTATTTGAGATTCATCCAATTGTAATTCACTTCCAAATATAGTAACCTTAGTCTTTCAAAAATCATTTCAAATTTAACGAAGTCATGGCTTAAAATTTATTTTGAACTTTGAAAATCAGAAGGGAAATAAAAAGAAAAATCTTTAAAAAATAATAATAATAATACAGCACACTTGCTAAGGTCAAAAAATACTTTACAGAATTGCACCAGATGCAGGTGTGACGACATCTGGTTTGATCTACTACTTTTTTTTTGTCATTATTCGACAGATTGCTGCCAAGTCTTCTGTATAAATTCTGAAAGCCAAATTCTATACGTGTAGACTAGTTCATAAATTATTAACTCCAACTTCCACTATCGAAAACAAAAGGAAAAGAGAAAAGTTTAAGATAAAGAAAATGTAAATTCCTTTGAAGTCCCCAAAATTTTCCAAGCGTTACATTCATGTCCTCAATCTTTAGTTTATGTCACCTCTTTATTTCTAACATTTTGACATTGTGCGAATGGTGTCCACTTGGACTATAAACGTCGGGCTATATAGAAGGTATAATGTCCACAATACAGGCAGTGATAAATATCTCATGTTTTTAATTGTTCAAAGGCAATATTTCACCACTTTGAACATTACTTTATCACAAATTATTACATTAAACAAAAAGTATTTAAAGTGGAGAAAGATTACGTTTGGACAATATTGCCATATAACTATCTCGTGATCTTTTACTAAACAGACATTTTTCATCAAGTTCGCATATCGTTGACGCAATGTTCGGAGGTTGGAATCAAATAAAGGTTAAGAATAAAAATTGATATGGTTAGGAAAAATTGGGACACGGAGGAATTCACTCTAAAAAACAGAATGTTTTGAAGTTAAAAATAGCATGTTTGTTAAGCTTGAAATAGTGTGCTTATAAAATATATAATTATAGTTATTAGAAAAAAAAAATCAATACTTTATTTTAAAATATGACATGTTAATTTTAAAATAAAGATTTATTTTACTTAATTAAGGAAAACGAATATACTTAAGAGCACGTTTGGCTTAGTTTAGACTTTAGAAGCTTAAAAATCGTGTTAAAAAACTAAAAACTAAATAAATTTTTGTTATTGTTTTAAAACTTGCTCGAAAATGAAAGTGATAGAATTAATTGTTCCAATGGTTACTAAACTTAGACCCACGTCTTTAATTGGTCACTGAACTTAAATCCATGTCTTTGATTGTTCATCAAAATTTAAATGTTGAGTTTTAGTTATTGAACTTTGAAAAATGCCTTACTTTACTTATTAGCATAAATTTTGAATTTTGAAAAATATCGAGTTTACAATGAATAAATCAAAATTCGATATTTTAAATTTCAGTGAGTAATTGAAGATATGGACTCAAATTCAGTAATCAAAACTCGATATTTTAAACTTCAGTGATCAATAAAAAACATGGATCTAAATTCAGTACCAGTGAAACAATTATCTCAAAGTAATACGACATCCATATACCGATATGAACGTTAATGCCTTTGCCATCTCCTTTCCCGTTCAATCATCCGTTCAAAATCGTCGCCGCCGCCGTCTGCTCTCAGCCCACTGAGACCCACCTGTAGAAAACACATATTATAGATATATAAGAAAGAAAAAGAAATATAGAGAGGGAGGGGGCAGGTGTCTGGCGATAGAGATTGAAAAGGATGATAACGCGGTCAAATTTGGCGGAGCAGCTGAGAGAATATCAAATTCGATCCAAACAAGGCTGGGCTTCCGTCTCTTTCTTCTCGTCCACCTCCAATCTTACCACCTCTAGGTATTTATTTAATACTTCCCCCTTTCATTATCTCTTTTTCCTTTCATCAATTGTTATTGTTTCTCTCTTCTTGGTATTTAGGGTTTCCTCAATCCTGATATTGGTGATTGTATGCTTAATTTTCCTTTTTCTCTTCATCTTTCATGCTGAAATTTCGGTATTGTGGGATTTTAATGCTAGAATTAGATCAACTTGGGTTTGTATTTATTTAAATTTTTGACTGAACAAGGGGAGTATTGAATTGTGGGGTCTAGAAATTCATTAGGGCATTTTGGAATAGAACTTTGATCTTAACATATATATTGCTGTCTGATTATTTCTACAAGATTGGTTTCTGGCAATGGTAACTTGATTCGAGCTATTAAGATTCCATAAATACCTTGTAACAGTCTTTATTCTAGTTATGTCTATACGCATGGATATTTTTTTAGCAATGAAAGGAAGTAAACAGAAGTTCTTGGAGCATACAAGCAAATAGAGCAATAAGCACCCCAGATACAGAAATAAATTAATGTGTCAGTGAAACCTTTAAACCATGTAGTATCGTCTATCCGAGACTGTAGAGAATAGTCACAATAAGTTTTCCATTTGTTCTATTAGAGTTCTTTTTTGTAAACTACGAAAATTTTGAACATCATAAATTTCTGAGTTAGAATTCAATTAAATAGAGTTGTTGTCATATAAGAAGCTAATATCAATATAATGGAAAAATAAATACTTGATTAATTGGGAAAAATCACTACTTACTTTTAAGTGTTCGCTGGGTGACGCAGGAGAAGATTGCGTGGACTATCATTCATACAGTTAATGTTCAATTGAAATTAAATTAATTCAGTAAGGGCTGTCAGATGTGGGTAAGTGTCTAAGTGATTAGTTGAGGAAAAAAAAAACAGTTTTATGCTTAAAAGACGGAGAATTCCCCAACCTGCATAAATACTTGAGTTATAGAAGAGACATGTTACATAATTTAATCTATGTTGAGACCTACCAGATCAATTGTTCCAGAGAAACATTCTCTAAGATTGCATTCAGTGGATAAGACTTCATGCAAGTTAAGGTGCTTAATTGACAACAAGTGTGTGTATACTTATATTAATAGAAGAGGTCCACTTCCTAATGTTGTAAGAGTTTGGTTTAGATATGCTAACAATACATTGAATTCAGTAAATTCTCACTTTAGTCAATGTTTAGCTTTCGATAAAATGGTCTCTCAAATTTCTATTCATTCTGAAGGTAGTTGAATTTAAAAAAAATCTGTTAATATTCAGACAAAAAGCATCATACATGTGCAGTATGCATAGCGAAAGGGCCATCAATGGAAAAAAAATAAAACACATGCTAAACCGATCTTGAAATGTGTCTGCATCAGCAAATAAGTCTCAGTGAAAACTAATTAATCAAGAATATTTTTATCTAAAATAAAAATTAAACCAGCTAAAAATATTAAACCATAATGAAACACAGCCACCTCCGTAACCCATGTTCACCGCCAGATCTTCTCTTCATCCACTCTCATCATCCTCTGATTCAATTCTCACTGCGACTTGATTCCTCATTGCCACCTCTACCACTTCATTCCTTCACTGTCATTATCATAGCTGTTGACCACTGATGCCACCACCTTGTCAGATCCCCAATCATTTGCTGCAGCATATCAAGGTTGCTTTTGGCCATCCTAGATCACCACAAATAAATGTTTCTCCAATCAAAGCATCTTTCACTGTGAATATTCATAATTGGATGGTAATAAATCTAAACTGCATAAATTATGTAGATGATTCTAAAAGGCAGATGAAATTGAGTTGATGCTTGATAATTAGGTTCTGACCACTTCTTCCAAGTTCTTTTTTTAGATATCTATATTTCTTCTCCGATTTCTCTCAAATCTCATCTGTTTCACTTTCTATTTCACAGACTTCTACTTAAACTTTTCAATCTAAATTTTAATTTATATTTTTAACCTAGTAATAACATATGCACTTTGTTTGATTTCTAACAGAAGGAAAGGGTGTCTTTAAGTTGATGTGGAATTTAGGTTGGTGAAGGTGGGAGTGTCAAGTTCAAGGGGCAGGCGGTGACAGTAGAGTTGTAATTTTTAGGGGTTGCAGAGGATGCAAATGGAGGATGAATTGGGGTGTCTGGTGGAAGATGAAATGTTATTAGGGCAGATTTGTTAATAATCATGAAAGAAGTTACGCACAGGAGTGTGTTCACGTGTGGAGGGGAATTGATGGAAGTGGCTTCCTACCCTGCACTAACACCAAAACCGTTTAGTTATGTTCTTCTCATAAGGATAATCTGATTAAGATGGGACTGGTTGACCAATGTAATACACTGCCTTATCATACACAGTGTACCTAAATAATTTCAACACAAACTTCCATCAAAGTGCGTGGCATAAAAAACAAGTTTGTTACACATTCGACTACTTTGTGACTACAGTGAAACCATAACGACTAATGTATTAACATTTGAATATCTTAGACTTAATTGAGATTTTTCCTAAACTTCAGAGACTATTAGGATTAAAGAGGCATCGTCTTGTACATTTTTATTTTTATTTTTATTTTTATTTTTATCTTTGACTGCATCCAAAAATAAAAATAAACGTAGTAAGCCAGTTTCTTGGTATAATCAACAACCGACTATAAATCTAACAGAAAAAACCAAGTACTCATTGGTTAGTTGCCTTCCATGTAGGGTCCCTTTTCTCCAGCTCCAAATTTGGAATCCAGCTCACCTAATCTAATCTCATGCATAAACAAAACAAGCGGATTATTAAGGCATATGCACCAATCCATTTGCATTATCTTGAGAGTATCTGTGAAACTGAAAATTCTGGAAGTAATGGACTTTTGCCAACAAGATATATAAGAAGGTCAAATCTAACTTGCAAAAGTTACTGTGTTTATATTTGCGAGAAGTGCAGAACTTCAAAAAATTAAGGTAGATAAATGAACACACGTAATGAAGAAGAAATAAAAATAAGATACATGGGACTCAATTTTGCATAAGCTGAAATTTCTGAAGAAAGATGGAGCACTTAGAAAAAATAAACTAAGGTGTCCTGGAACGATTGGTCAGAAATTTGCAGGCACGGACTGTGTTCATTGGAAAATAGATCTCAATATGGAAGGTAATTAACTTTTGAATAATGAGTTTATTTTGGCTATATGTAAAGGTCGATTATTTTATTTAAATTCAGGGTGTTACATTGTTACTTTGATTGCAAATTGGAACGATTGGTCAGAAAGAGGTGGAAACTTGAACTCTTACAATATGTGTATCCCTCAATAAACAACAAGCACACAGACATTCCAATATATTTGAATAAGTTGCATTACACACATTGATGACCAGGTTAATAGATCCATAAGCTTATATTGTGGACTAATTGCTGCCTATATAGGCTTTTTATGCATGGTATGGCACATGTACTACCCATCTGGTGACTGTATTGTCGTCTTATCCTTCGTTTTCTGATGTTCTAAAAATTGGATGTTTAACCTCGATGGTTACATAGTGGAACCGATTGTTTTAGACCTGCTAAGGTCTTTTCTTTTATTTGTGCACATTGTGTTTTTGAGTTTCTAAGACATTTCTATAATTGAAATTTTGATTGGTTGCTGAAGACATTGACTGGATTTGCAAGTTCTTGGACTTGTATTTGCATTACATTTTTAAATGTGTTGCTTGTTATTTTCATAAAATATGTCTGTTTCATATTCTCTATATATACCTTTATTTCTCTTTTCTAACAAGTTCGTCGTCTGTGCTTATGCATCTCCGAGAATTTCCGTTTCTGATATGCTGTGTTTCTTGGATGTAGGGTCGATGTTGCTCTCTTCGTGATATGGGAACTCATCATTTTAGCATTCCTCGTTTTCTCTGCCGTTTCTTTATATTTTAGACATTTGAAACTTGCTGTTTTTTTGGTATTTATTACAATGCTACTACTTTTATGCATGAAAATTACAAAGCAAGTAAGATTGGCCCGGAAAAAGAAGCGAAGAATGCTTCTTCCATTATCTATGTAGAAATCAATGAAGTGAAAACTCTTTTGCAATCATGTAGATTGTGAAAATCCTTGGCCATTGCTTTTAGTTTTCTATTCGTTTTCTGTTCTTTTTTTTTTTTTTTTTTTGGTATATGTAATTGTACCTGAGGCTAGCTTATTTAACAATATAATTGATACGATTAGTTCATTACAAGATGGATAAGGTAGACGGTTCCAGTTTGAACAGTTTTATGTTTTGGTTGGACTGGATTAATTAATTCGATGGCTGCATTGTCAATACCCTCTCTTTCTGTGTCTCTTGATGGATTTATCTTGCCGGGGGGCTGTAGATTTGGTGTTTGTGCTGGCATTATATGTCCTAATTACTGTTTTATTGTCTACAAAGGAATGGAAATACAGACAATATTTGTTGTTATTGAACAGACTATCAAATGGCCCACCCCTCAGCTGTGTTGATTTCACATACATAGCGCACCTTACATTTACTTTTAAGTTGCCTACATCAGAAGACAGGACTTCTTAGCAACACTTGTAACTGGCTTCTACCAGGATTCAAGTTATCATTGTTGACCAACTCACTGGGGCTTGAAAAAGTGGACTTCTATTCCTTGTGTCACTATAGTCCATATTGCGCCGAATACTAGTAGAAAGCTTAATATCATTCCTAGAGATCCAAGTGACCAATTGAGATACCAAATTGCACTATACTTTTCGGGTTTCTTGATAGTAATCCACATCAAGCAGGGATATGCTAAAGTTACTGGTAATGCAATTCCTCCTATCAATCCAGCCAAACTTGGCAAGAATGGGAAAGCTATGGCTATGAAGAGTGCCAGGCATCCAAAGAACACGCGCAGCAATGTCCTAACCCACCATGGACATGGTCTGTTCCGGTTGCTAGTGTACCTGAACTCGAGATTGTCAAAGACTGGCATTGCGTATATCTGGAAAGAGGTGAGGCTGTTGATCACAACCAAGAGGCATGTCAACCCCAAAATTGCCTCGCTCGTGTCATGTCCATGATACTTGTCCAATGCACTCAAAATCCCGCCATTTGTAGGCATCTGGTCATGAAGTGCATTGTCATCAAGGAATATATAGTAAGCTAGATTACAAAAAAATCAATATATAGAATGAAGAATTACCAAGTTCCCATATGCCCAATAGCCTCCTATTGCCAGTGGAAACAAACAGCAGGCTATGATTAGATATGAAAATTTCACCCCTTTCCACATTGGCAGATTAGATGGGTGCTTTAGACTAGAAGGCATGGTTCCCTGTGAAATCAACTCCAAATGTTTTACTATGTTGGCAAAATAAGGTACTTATACATTGAACTTTCAATAACAGAAAATTTACTTTAATAATCACAATTGACGTAGGACCGAAAAATGTACAATTATATTCATTAATATATGTAAAGTGTCTTTCGGTTTTTTTAATTAAAGCAGATGTAAAATTTCAAACCTGTATTTCCAAGACAAGATTGTGTCCCCTAAAAGCAAATGCAATGATTCCAAGAGCATTAAGAATGCTGCAAATTTTAGCAATATCCGATTTGGTCTCTAAGGATTCATAGGATATGCCGTTTGGCCTGTTTTTGGTGACAGACAAAACCCACGTTAAGGTACAATATGTGACTGCCGTCGCAGCGCCGATCAGCGATACTCCGGCGATGGAGTTCAAGTTGGGAAGTTGAGCCAAGATCACGGCTGAGCAAGTGAAAACGATGTACCACTCAACGGTGGTTATTGAATCGGCATTGCAGGCAAGGTTGCTACACACCATTTGGAAGAAGATTTTTAAGGTGGCACCGCCAATCATTATTAGGGTTACACAAGTGCCTCCGGAGAGATACATGGTTGGGAGAAGCGTCGATAGCTTTCCCAATTTATTACCTGAAACAATATCCTCTAGTCGTATTAGTTATTTTGTCAAAACCGTGACTTTTTTAAAGATATTGAAGAAAACTAACTAAAATCATGGTTCTATTCTATATCATGTATCATATGCATAGTCGCGAACATGTCACACAGGTAAGAGAAACAATGAACAAATATGAACAAACTAGAGTTTATCCTGTCTATACTTTTACACAAATTGTCAAGTGGATGTCATTGGTTGAGAGGTATCGTACAACTTGTCTAAACTTCTACACAAATTTTCAAGTGGATGTGATTTGTTGAGAGGCACTATCAAGCATATTGATCTACCGTGGATGTTCTCACGAGAGAGGCTTTACCACCTGCTTTTTACATTTGAATATGTAACAAATGATTCGTTTGACATGACTTTTTAAGAAGTCGGAAGGAGCTTTTTGAACCTTTTAGAAAAGTTAGAATGAGCTTTTGAAATCATTGTGACTTCTTTTAAAGCTCTTCAGGAAGGGGAAGCTAATTTGAAAACTAATTTTCAAACACCAATTAAATTAGCCCCGTTTGGCCCCGATTAAATTATATTCCATTTTTCTCTCTTATTTTTTACTACACAATCTTCTATAAAATAATATTATACGTAAATCGAAAATTTTTCATTCTTTTTCAACAACTAATTTTTCAAAAAAATACTATTCCACCCATTTTCATTTTCCGAAAATGGGGGCAAACGGGGCTAAACTCTTTTACTTCTCAAGAAGTAAAAGCAAAGTTAGAAACCTGTCAAGGTCTAAAGCCTAACTAACACTGTAAAATCATTGACTTTGTTCAATCTGTCAAAGACGAAGAATAGACCGTAAAATAATAATATAATATAATTATTAGAGATAATAATTGGAAGATCATTAATTACCAAAAGCAGCCATTGAGAGCACGAGGTAACGGCTATAGCGAGTTCCAGGGACGGATTCATGGAGTTGTATTAGTAGCCACAAAGTGTATAATTGCCATACAAATGCCAATGATAGGCATATAATTCCCCATGTCCTGCAATTTAGAGAAACATAAGCAGACTTTAACACACAAAATTTAATTATATAAAAACGTATTTTACTTTTTACAGTTTAAACTTTTAGATATATGAAGATCGTTTCACTTAATATCAAAGAAAATATAGACTTTAAACAGAAATCTCGATGCTATCCTATTTATGAAAATTGTACACAGTCGAGCCTTTGTTAAAAATGAATATGATTTGCATTGTGAGCACGCTGAGATTTAATTAATTGTTGCAAATAAGATTTATTATAAGCAAAATTTGCTTTAACACAATGAAGGTAAGTCATATGTCTCTTCCAAAGTTTTATATTTTCATGTTTACATTTTTTTAAAAAAAATTATTAATGATAATCAACCCATGTGGCAGTTCGACTAAGGAAAACATATTCATAATCGTAAAAATAAAAATAAGCAAGCTACTTATTTTTAAACAATTTTTACTTTTTATGTCAATCTAAGTAACTTCCCAGTTCCCACCATGTAGTCGAAAGTTTATATACTTACCAACCAAGAGCAGTAAAAGCAAGAGGAAGAACAAGGGCTTGAATTCCAATTCCAGAACTTAGGGTATGAAATGCAGCATAATAAGCATTCCCATTTCTTGACTCAGTAATTGGAAGCCAATCTTCTTGTGGATCAAGCTTCGTCAGATGACCGATTTCTTCAAGGTAGTTCTGCATGCTTTTCATGGCCTTTTTCATCGGACTCGCTAAAGGTGTAACGACAGCAAATGGGCTCTTAGTGTTCGTCTGATGAGCTGAGTCAAAAATCAATGGTGATGGAGTAAATTGGTATGGTGGTGCTGAGATCACCTGAACCGGAGATTCTGTTCCAGATGGGTTTTTGATGATCGTTACTGGGCTTGAGTTTACTTCCACTACCTCACTCATTTTCGAATGATTTTGTTTAACTGTGGGAGGTTTAGAGTGAGAAAATAACTGAATGATTTGTGTGTATATATAGAGAATTTTTTTCTTTTTTTTTTTAGGGGTATGGTGGAAAGAGAATAAAGTGGTATCTTTGAAACTTTGACCGACCCGGCCCACTTTGGCTGCTATTATATCAAATCAGTTTAATTAGATTATCACAAGCAAAAAAGTTGCTACACGTCCTATAATTTATTTGGTTTAATGCAGACGCCATGCAGATTTCACTTCTTTACTATGCGGCTTTTTGGTGGGAAATATAACCTGATTTTTAATAGATTTTGATAGAAGTTAATGAAATTTGTGAATGAAAAGTTATGAAACTCATAAACTATGTGATCAAAGATCGATTCTTGACTTTTATTTAGATTAAAATTTTTGTGTATATATATTTATTGGAAATTATTATTCTTTTTTTCAATTTGACTCAATCACCATGAAATGTGAAACGATGTGAATGAGCAGAGAAAAATAAGAGCTATGAGTCCTATAAAGTATATGGATAAAAGTTGTGAATTCAACGAAGTATGCAATTGAAATTGATTTTGATTGGCTTATAATCTTTTACCAACAAATAGGGATTATTGGGACAAGTGACATCTGACGTTTGTTTTTGGGACAAAAAAAAACTTATGCCTCTCATGGATATAATGGTTGGACGGGTCCCTTGCGGCCTTGCCTCACAAAGTAGCTTTATGATTATCAATCAAATTGTTACAAACGCATTGTGTAAGCTTACGATAATATGATTTAAAATTGTTTCTTCTTTTTCTTGCTGACGAAGATGAGATCTTAACTTAACTTCTAGTTTTTAAGATCACAACAAACTCATTAAAATATTTCAAAAATCAAGTGGTAAATTAATTTATTAAATATTAAAATATAACATAATATGCATTAATTATTTCTATCCATGTCACCTCACGCACCTCATCCTATCACCCTACTACACCAACTTCCCTTCACCTCTTCATTGAAGACGATCATCGGCTTCGTTGATCGCTTCGACGATCACTTTAGCGGCTACTCTAATAACTGTTTCGGCGATCACTCCGACACCCGCTCCGACGGTTGTTCGGCGATCACTCTAGTAAATTGCTCCAATGACCACTCTGACAAGTGCTTTGATGATCGCTCCGACAACTGCTCCGGCTCGTTGATAGAAAAATTTTGAAAAATTGAAAACAATTTCTTTCTCCATACCCCAATGTAGAAAAATTTCCAAAAATTGTGGTAGTCGTAATGGTGCATTGTAGGTGATCAAATTGCAATTGTGTTATCTGCGACCATACTTGTGTCATATGTGACTATTTGTGATCAAATCTATTTTCTGTGTGACTGTATGTGTATGTCTAATTTGTTATTGTATGTTACAAATTCATTGACCTGTGTTACGTGTGATTAATCGTGACCAACTTTGTCTTCAGTGTGACTAACCGTGACCAATTTGTATTCAGTTTGACTATCTGTGACCAGATCAATCTCAAGTCTCAATGAACACAAAATTGGTCACAAACAGTCACAACAAACATATACTTGATCACATAGAGTCACAACAAACAAATCTGTATACACCGCAGACCTGTGATTAAACGTGACCAACTTTGTCTTCGGTGTAACTAACTGTAACCAAAATTGTATTCAGTGTAACTATCTGTGATCAGGTCAATTTCAAGTTACAACCAGTCACAGAACCATCACAACCTTCACCACCACCAACGAACCATGAATTAGAAAATTTTCGCATCCCCACCACCACCATGAGCACCATTGCATCTATATTACAGTCTCCACTATCACTACCACCATAACACCTGCAAAACTGCTGCACCACCACCACCATCTCCTCTATCTCCATCTACACCACCCCACCACCACTCTCACAAAAAAAATTCCATAAACTCGTCACCGCCACCACCACAACACACTACCACGACCAGTGCCTCAAAAACCATAACAAAACATGCCGAAGAATCACCACAAAAACCATAGAAAATCATCCCAAAATCACCAAAGAAACCTCTACTGGCAACTGCAACGCCACAGACATCTCTACAAGTAGTGGATCGTTGCTATGATATGCAACATTGAATGAAATTTTAGATCCACAAGCGGCGCTGCAGCACCTCAACTCCGCTGCAGCGAGCTTGCATCGACACACACTTGCTGAAATTTGGAGTGGTTGCAACAACTGCAAGCATTGGTCGTGACTGCTCCGTTGCGAACGGCTACAGCCACCAATGCAATAGGCGACCGGTCTTGCGACACTCCAGCGACAAAAGCAGTAGGTGATCGAAATCTAGATGGTGGGGTGGGGAAGAAGCCGTTGAACCGCTACGAGTGGCTACAGCTGTCGATATAATAAGCGACCAATTTTGCGAAACTCTAGCGAGAGAAGCAGTAGGTAGCCGAAATCTCGAGGGTGGAATGTGGAAGAAGTCGTCGACCTAATTTTTGGGTAAGAGAGTGACCATCTGATTTTTGGGGAAAGGAGAGACTGTGTAGGTTAGAAATAAATCAGGGTCTGAGGTGTAAAATAAGTGTTCAGGGGGATGGGCGGGCGGAATTAATTTGTCTTATTTAATTTAGAAATTAGTATTTATCACCTGATTATTGAAATTTAGCCTGAGTTTGGTTGCCATTTTCATCTTCATTTGTAGAAGAATTTGCACCGTTACACAGTAAAAATGCAGGTGCATTTAATGTTCATCAGAAATGTTTTTATATTTTTACCCTTTTTGCATTTATTTCAAAGTTAAGGAGGGGGTATTTCAGGAAATTCCATGCTGTTGAGTCAAAAAAGATGGCCGTGTATGGCCCACTTACTGTTTCAACAGGCAAAAATTTTCTGAAAATGTGGTGAAAATGGAAAACAAACAGAGGTTTAATGTTTCGCCCACTTGCTTTTGAATTGTAATATTAAAAAGAAGGATTCTAAGTAATTTTTCCTTTAATGATTGTATATAAAAGATTGTGTTGATAGAGATACATGGAATTTATTATTTCTATTTTTATCTTTCTTCAGAGATATATTTATATTTTTAACACATTATATGGTCCCGATAAGACAGTAACTACACCAACTTAAAGTAAGAAATATCTGCTACACGTTTGCAGTGATGCAATGTGATGATGCAAAAATATTGCATCACTTTAATTTGCTTAGAAAAGACATCTAACATATCAATTTGATATTTTGTAGGATAAAAGATTGATAGAGTCGAGCTGTAATAAAAAATTTACAGCTGTTATGTGTAGTAATAACATGTGTAAGAGTCGAAATAGGGATAGGTTCCTCACTAACACAATCATAGTTGCCTCGAAAATTGTGCCTATTTAGCAAGCAACGAAGATACTAACAAATATTTACTTTATTATTATAAATCATATTTAATATTGAAACTATCTAGATCCTTAAATACGAAAGTACGTAGATGTTACTCAATGAAAACCTAATTTTTTTTAACGATAAATCAAAATTCCTTGCACGATTGCTAGTTTGCAAGTATTTGTTGCCAAAGTTCGTGTAAATCACTAACCCTATAAATAAGAACTCATTTTAAAAATTACAAATTTATATTAAATTGGAGCTAGTTACAAATTCCAATAAGAAAGGACTTCAAAATTCATATAAGCAAAAGTCTTAAGTATATATCTTTCATCACGAGGCATTATCACAACAAATAAGAAAATCCAGTAACCTTCTTTAACCTTTAAAGGAAGAAAAATTAATGGATTCTATTTGTCTACTTTACTAACTGTTTGCAGTAATGCAATATCATGATGCAAAATATTGCATTCATTCTCGTGAATTTCATTATAATCTTTTTTCAAGCATTGTATTTCACACTAAATTTTGTAGAATAAAGAAGGAACAAAGTCGAGCTATAATAAAAATTTATGTAGTTACCTTTGGATTGTGTGTCCATATAGTATATTTTGCTATGATAAAATAATAATTTATGATAAAGAAATTATGATTTTAATTTATTATTGAGCATGCGAATTAAAGTACATATGATCACTTCTAATAATATAAATTGGATACTTGCTTTGAGAAGTGTAGTATGACACAATTTGTATTTTAATCGTAAATAATTTTTTCATGACCAATATATAAGGGCTGACACTTTGTACTGGAAAGTTGTAGTATTGACCGATTCACTATTCATGTTTGTAATTTGTCCTTATCACATAAATAATTAAAAGTGACACTAGTACACTTGGAGTACATTAAACGGGCCACGTGTTGAGTTTAATTCTATAACATGACTATGCGAAGAGTTAAATTTTACTTGATAGTTGTATATTTCATCTAAATCACTTGACAGAGTTATGTATATCTTTTTGTGATTTTAATAGTTTTTTGATTAATCAATGAGTAAGATCAATTTGATTGATCAAATATTTTGGTGAATGAGAAACTCAAGAATGAGCAAAGCAGAGAGTATGAATTCGAATCGTCGCCCTTGAAAATGAGTAGAGTGACTATTTAGACATTTTCTGTTGAGCGATTAAAAATTGAGCTTAGTGTTTAGCGTCGACTAAACTTCGATATCAGTGATTAGTTCGCAGGATCGTTGAAGAAAATAGTACTTACAAACTATGCCGCTATTTGGTGGGAAATAAAATTAAAATTTTAATAGATTTTAATAAAAATTGATGAAACGTATAATTGGAAGTTGGGACAAGTAACATGTGATGTTTGATTTTAGGACAAAAAACCTTATGCCTCTCATTGATATAATGGTTGAACGGGTCCCATACCTCACAAAGTAGCTTTATGATTATTGATCAAATTATTACAAACATATTGTACAAACTTATGCAATAATATGAATTAAAGCTGCTGCTGCTGCTTTTTCTTGCAAACGAAGATTTAGAATTTTATACATATAGTTCCATTGGCATAGGCAAACTCGCAATTCCATTTTTATGACCTTCCAAGTTGATCTCTTCCTAGGAAAGTACGTAGTTTACTAACCCACTTGAATTG